TGTGTGTGTGTGTGTGTGTGTGTGTGTGTGTGTGTGTGTGTGTGTACGTACGTGTACGCACACACGCACACACACACACACTCTCTGTTCAGAATGTGCTGGTTGAATTTTGCTTGGATCATCTGTTTTCCATACTTTTCATAAGCACAGAGAAAAACTATTAGAAAAGAATACAGAGTATAGTAGGGTTGAGAACCAAGAGACTATTTTCTCAGAAAACTTACATTATTATAATATGCAAACCCCAAGTCTCCGTTTTTATGTTTAGCTGAAATTCAAGATACACATGCGAAAAAGACTAAGGATTTAAATGTAGTAAAGAGTAAATTATTGGTATACTATGATCAAAGTGAAAAGATAGCGAACACTGCAATCTAAAGAGACAGGTAACAAAGACTCACTAGAGAATTTGTTTTAATGTATTTGTTATCTTATACTTCCTTCCATGCAAAATCAATTGTGCGGAGTGGTTAACTGATAAAAGTGTTACTTAGCATTTGATTTGACCGTGACAAGAAAAGGGCAAGCTTTTATAAGCAGCATGTTTACGAATTTGTACCAATGGCAGATATTTTAATGGGCTACAATTTATAAATTACTGATACATTCTGCATACCTCTAATATGTTTTTGCTACTCTGGAGATAAAAATTTAATTCCTGTGGTAAGTTGACAAGGACCAACAAGTGGATTTACCTACGTTGTGATCCACGGGCATTGAGAGGGCTTTGCCTTCAGACACCCCTCCCTAGGGCAGATAGCCAAAGTCCCAGCCAGCGTTTGCATTTTGGGCCTGTACAAAGACCTTGAGAACAAAAGAGACTATGGAGGCCGCCTTGAGGAGCCACTGTTGTGGACAGTGTAGGAACTGTGAACAAAAAATTGGCTCCTAACACTTTTTCTTTAGTACCTACTTTAAATAGCTGCCTTTCTGAATATATAACAGTTTTCTTCTGGACTAGAGGCCAGTTTTGAATCCTGGTTTTGTCATATTTGTGGGTTTAGTGATTCTATACTTGTAGATTATTGTGCACATCATAAAACGACCAGAAAAATACCATCCATAGCTTTCAAGAATAAGTAACATGAGCAGTTGTGTGTACTTGTGTAGACAAGCCTGCCTGAAAGGTCAGTGATTCTGTGGGCCCTTTCCTGCACTAAACAATGCAGTTAATACCTCATTTTCATGAACAGTAAGCTCATGGCAACATTAAAAAATGATTTGTGTCCTCAGATTAGATTGTACGCCCGCTGGGCAGATAATGTGTCTAATGTTTTGTGTGGCACCTATCACATTGTTAGAGTTCAATAAATGTTCAACAACAATGGTTTTGTGACTGTCAGAATACAAAGAAGATCTTTAAAGCATTTTTCTATATCTGTAGTAGCAGGGCATTGTACTCAGAATTATTAACAAGGGGTGAAGATTGTAGCATTCTTCACCAAAAGGTGTGTGCATGTGAGAAAATGCTGCTGCCAGTTGTGTGCAGCTCCTGGTACTGCACAAGGGTGTGTTTGTGGCAGCCGGCTGGGTGGACCCTAACTGAAGCTTCCTCTTGTGCTAGGTGCTCAGGGTTCTGAGGTTTCAGGAGAAGCTCCATCACCTGAAGAGGGTTCCTTTCCCAAACATACTGGTAAGGAGAACCCAGCACACTTGCTTCCCTACCTGGCCTGTGGAGCTCTGCCTGGGAACCTGCTGGAATCCCACGAATGGGTGACTGCAGTGCTGCTGAAGGATAATGACAAAATTCATTGACCCCTAGTCATTTCTCTTTGACTTAATTCTAAGTGTTCTACTTTGCAGAAATAAGATACTAACTTTGTTGGTCAGATTGAATGTTTAGAATGTGAAAGAAGGTAGTGAAAGTAAGCAAAAGACAAGTTGTAATAGCTCCCTCCCCTGTATTTGTAGAGAAAATTGGGAAAAGATGATCATCTAGCCTAACCCTCCCTAATCATAATGTATGTGTATGAATTCTGTTAACAATCTGCCCCTACAGAGGTGCCGGGCCCTCTTTTGGGTCCCATGTAATACAAGTAGATAATCCATAGTGTAGAGGTTGACAATATTGACTCTAGATAATACCACATGGTTAGATTGGACTATGGCTCCACCACAAGCCAGGTAATGGGGTCCACCTTGGGTAGGGGAGGGGGTAGACATACAAAACTCAATTAAATACCTGTTAATGATATGGCACTGTGTTGACAACCTGGGCTCCTTGTTTTTAGACCCCCTTCTTGACCTTTTAACCCCTTGTCTATCAAAGGATAAGCACGTAAGAAAGTGAAACCCAAGCTCAAACTTGGCTTGTTAATGAAGCGTGAGAAGCAGATAGGTTATCTAGGGCTTCCTAAAACTTCAAGACACTCCTGAAAGGTTTCAGTGAAGGAAAAATGCTACAGGACTTAACTCCAAAGTCAGCTAGACTATCCACAGATGTTCCTTTAGATCCCTGCATAGCCAGGAGTGGGAGAAGCAGTGAGTGGGGACGGGTGTCACCTGACTGGCCTGTCCCAGTGGGGGTGGGGTTACAGAATGTCCACTAGGACTCTGCCCCTAAGCTTTTGCCCAGGCTTGTTTGTTTCTGAAGATCATTGTATGTGAGATACATTTTGGTTAAATTGTAGAATTAATCTAAGAAGACCTTTTTCTCAATTCTTTATACCAAAAATAATTATATAAATGGGTCACATAGCTTTTACATGTCAGACGCTACTGTAAACCCTTTATGTAGTACCCTATTTAATCCTCAGCAACTTTACCGAAGAGAAAATTAGTGATTAAGAGTGGTAAAGTAACAGCAGTCATTGAATTAACTACTAGCAACAAGGGGCTTGAATCAGCATTTGCTGTTAATGGTACTATACTAACTCAGGTTTTTCTTTTGTTTCATTTTCAATGATTCTCACAATATGAATCGGCCATTGGCATCCAAGGAGGCTTGGTTCCAGGACCTTGTGATATCCCATATATGTCAAAATCCTTGGGGCCTCAGCTCCCTTGTATAAGACATGTTTGTGTTTTATGTACATCATCCTACGTGTGTTACATTAGATGACGTATAGGGCCAAACAGTGTAAACGAAGTGCAAGTAGTTGTACTGTGTCTTTTAAGAAATAAGAAAAAGTCTGCTTTTCAGTTATGATGACCTTCATGACTTCAACATCTTCTGTCAGCTTGGTTGAGTCTGCACATAACAAAGCTTACTGTACTTCGGGTGGTGGAAAACACTAAGTGAATTGATGCGGTCTGTCATACTTCTTGGTAGGCGTACAACTTTAGTCCTATAGCAAGCACTGTATATGAAGAGAGACATTTTTATTCTAACTCCCCAGTGGAATAACTTGGCCTAACATAGAGCCTGATTTTTGTTTTAAAATGTTTGACTGAGCTTGTACTTTCTGAAGAGAACAGATATGAGAGGTTCCTAACAATCTGAAACCGAAGACCCAAAACCACCCAGTGTTTCTTCCAATGACCTAAATAAGAAAATTTGAAGATTTTTTTTCTTATTAAATAGCAGCATCTTAGGAGTTTACTACATCATTCAATAGTATGTTTTACATTAGTAAGATGTGGTATGTTTGTTATTCCAGCACTTGGGAAGCTGAGGAAGGAAGGTCACAACACCAGCCTGGACCCATTGGTGCTGGGGATCAAACAAAAAGGTTTGACAATGTTAGTAGGAGCGTAACTTGTGTAAGGCTTCTGAATTGGACAACAGCTTTAGAAAGTAAGGGATGCTAATCAAGATTACAGAGATCCTTTCTGCCGCGAGTGTACCTTACGGAGGGGGCCATTTCCTAAGCATGTATTTGCCAAATGCAGAACAAGGTACATTCTGATTTTGTGCATTGCTTTGCTGTGGTATCATTTCTAATCTTTACTTAAACTGAACACTATGAATAAGTAGATACTAAAGCCCAAGTAAGAGCTAGGAGGATGTTGAAAGGGTAATCTTTGGACCATGCCACTTAGGCCAATCAATTGAGAGAAAACTGACGTTTACAGAGCCTGGTTTTCATGTCCTGGATCTGGGTACTTAGCAGCAACGATGGCTTAAGTCTCTTGTCAAACTGGACTATGACAGATGGACCCAAAGATTGCTGCAAAGTTTAAAGTCTGGCTGAGCTGCCTCTGCCAGAACTATAGCCCTTCCCAGTCACAGGAACCCACTTGCAACAGCCTCATCCATAGAACCACTGTTGGTCTTACTACTGTAGGCTCTAAACATATTTGCCTCTAGGCTGGGCCTTTCTGAGCCTCCTGACTTGGCCATATGATTCTTCCACATAACTGGACATTTGTTTAGGTTCTCCTGTCTAGTTCTCTAGTCCTCTGTGATTGACCAGGCCTCACACCTGTCCTTTGCCACCCTTCTAGCTGAGGACACTCAGAATCCTATCTCAGGGTGGTGGCAGTGGGCAAACCAATGCCCATGGCATGCAGAGGATGTCCAACCAAATCAAAGGATAGCTGTTGGATTGGCTGGTGAGAGTGAGGTAAGTGTGACGCCTTGTCCTGGAGAGTACAAGAGAAAAAGAGGGGAGCCAAGCCAAGGAAACAAGCTATGGCTGATTCTGTCCTGACCCACCTGCTTCCATGCCTAAATGTCCCTCCTGTTCCCTGGAGCAGCTCAACCTAATGAAGTCCCCATTCAGCCCTCAAAAACTGGCTGCAGGCAGCGCTGCTTCCTACCACTGTGCTCCCCACAACAGTTCAGCTCCTGCAGGCCATGCACAGGCCTACCTTGTGCTGTTGGGCTCTGCCTCAGCTGATTATTTGCAGGAGTAGATGATACTGTGCATATGAGCTTTAGAGCCAGACGGAAGATTTTAGCCCTATTCTGTCATTTGGTGATGATATATGACTCACCTTTAAAGTGGTATTCATTTAAATTTAAAAAAAAACACAAAGACAGTACTGTACATTCATTACACCATTGCTTCAGAGACTCCGTATCACATTTGCCAGCCTCCCTTGCAGCTAAATTGCAAGATCTAGCCAATTAAAACTCCCATGTGATCTTTGCATAAGCAAGAAACATGCTTTTACTGCATTAAGCCACTGAGAACTTGTTAACTGTCACACAGCATGTAGCCTACCCTCACACAAGCAAGTAAAACAAAGCATGAGGTTAGGAAGTAGGTGTTCAGACAAGTGAAGTGGCAATAGGCTCACTCTGGAGACAACTGACTTGGCCTGACCTAATGATGGGCTTATATGTAGTGGGTGACAGGAAGAGGAGTTTAAAGAATTGTTCCATGGATGGAGAGAGCGCTGGCTGTTCAGAGGACCAGAATTCATTTCCTAGCACCTACATGGTAGCTCACAACCAGATGTAATTCCAAGTCCAGGTGAGCAGGTGCCTGTTCTGATCTCCACAGGCACCAGGTACCCAAATGGTGAATTGATAAACATGCAAGCAAAACACCCATGTACATTAAATAAATTTAAAAGACTCCAGGTATTTTGCTTGAGATAACCAATGCAAGCTCAGGCTATTTACAAAGACTGTGCAACAGGAAAAATGGGTGCTATTTTAGTCTCTAAATTTGATGTGCTGCCTGGGCACGGTGGGAGACAGGAGAATCTTGAGATCAAGGCTAGCTAGTCTGGGCTATGAACCAAGACTCTGTATCAAACAAGAAAATATGTTTTCTTATATAAACTGATGCTTGCTTTGCAGCTATGTTTAAAAACCTCAAGTGTACCTGCTCCCATTACAATGGTGCTGCTTTTCTTTTACTTCACAAGTTTCTGAAAATGTCTCAGAAAACCTGATGTGCTAGTGAGATATTTAGGTGAGATGATTACATTGGGAATTAAATTTAGGAGTCAGCAGTCAGAGCTGAAGAGACTGGTGACCAGCTTACAGTTGATATTAAAAAATGGAGAAATAAAAGCTAAGCCAAGGCCTTGAGGATCAAGTATTCAGAGGTTGACCAAGGAGAGCAAAGTGGCTAAGCGTTTCTCCAGGAATCATTTCTTCTTGAGACTTTATCTATTTTTCTATGAATATTCTAATTAAGTACCTCAGAGGTGATTTAACCCACTGACCCCATAAGTACTCTGTTTTTCAACCCTATGAATTCTGGGGTCTTTCTGCTATCGTGGTTACTGTACCACAAATGTGTAATTAATTGTACTTTCCTTCTGGGTGGACCCCACTCTTCTTTCCAGGTCAGTGTTACTTTCATTAAACACCTGCTGTCAGGCAGGGACTTGGCGAGGTGCCAGCGTGAGGGACTGATGGGCAGGCTCAGCTTTCCAGAAACAGAGTTTACACCAAACCAGCCTTCCTGGTTCTTCTGAGCATTGTGTAGCAGAGCTCTGGACCCTTCATTTAGACAGAGGGGACAGCTTAAGAGTTGTAGCTGGCTATTCTCATAACACTGCTACTTTCAAAAACCTTAATTTCACCAGATAACTATATCTACAAGGTGGTGTCAGGTTTAAGTGTGTGTGTGTGTGTGTCAGAAATGCCTTCCAACAAACTAGAAAACTATTTTTTACTCACCAAGCAGAGATAGGTTTCGTAAACCCAATGACAGCTAGGGCACTAATGAACTTTTTCCAAAGGGAATAATATTCTTATCTCAGTACCTGAGCTAGACCTCCAGCGTGGACCAGCGTTATATCAGGCATCCATGAACATCCAGGGACCACTAATCCATAAAGTGCAATCACAAAGTAAGGGACAGAATAGAACATGTATGCCAGCATCTGTGTAACCAACAAATAAATAAATAACAAAGGCAAATTATCAGGTTGACCTTAACAAAAAGCAAAAACATAAAATATTTTCAAAGATAAAATGCTAACCCCTTGGTTTCCCATTTAAAATAAGAGAATTAGCTTTAGAAAGATCTTAGGCTTTGTAACTACTTGACCTGAATTTTAGGATAAGCAGCAGGGTCCTTTAGGTAGGGCTCTTGAAACTGTGTGTAGAGTCGGCAGAGCTCAGCTGGGCAATCCAAAGCAATCTAAGGATGAAATGAGCTCATTATAAATAGTCTTGTCTGGTTCTGCAGTTTGCTGATAAGGCTGTGTGCCAGCTTTAGTCATAAGCTGCTTCAGTCCTCGACATGCACTCTGTGTCTTTACAGGGTCAGTAACAGAAAAACCAGAAATATTCAGACTTCTAAAGGACTACGCCTAGGTTAGCAGCGGGGCAGTGTTCTTGAGACGCTGATACTCACAGCTTCAGCACCTAGGTTTAGTGAGCCAAAGCACAGCTTTGTTGGTAATGACCAGGTCCACTTGGAATATCTAGCCAACTAACCTCTATGGGAAGAAAAGCCAGTTCTGTGTCAAACTAATCTTACTGTACTTTGCAAGATTCAAAAATAGCATCCGCCTCTCTCCTGTGCCTCACAGAGCATATGGCCTTTGGAGGCAGTAAGGAATGATTTAAAAGCAGGGTCCTCCTGTGAAGCCCCTTCTGTCTATTTTGAAAAAGAATAAGAGCAGATTTAGTCCCAGCAGTGAACACTCGAGGCCACAGCAGAGACTTTGGCACATCAGTGAGACACTTCTACCTCAGGCACCATTCCTCATATCCTTAGCCATAAATGAAGTTTTCCACCTAGATGACAACACAGATTACAGGCTAGCAGTAAAGCTGGACCTCTGCCCAAATTTTCATGTGTAAAAGCCCCACCCAGAACATGAACACACATTTCTCAGGGGCAAGAGAAAAGGACATGGAAGCCTACAACTGGATGTCATGTGTTTAAACTTAGGATGAGAGCAAAGCAACCAGAGGTTCCATGGTTTGTTCTCAACTTGTACAACACCAGTGAGTTCAGGGTAGTTGGTGGTTGTTGAAGCTGAATATGACTAGCAAATAATTCTGAGATAGTAAAATATTTCTAAGAATAAATTATAAGCTGGGTCATTGTGAAGGATCACTGATGAATCAAGACAGTAACAGTTGTTTCCTGAGCACTTATTATGTGCAAAAATGATAAAGGGCGAAGATAAAAAAACAAAAAGCTCATGAGGCCTTTGTGTTATCAGATTGTAACCCTGAACCTAATTCAGCATTACCCTTAGCAGTGAGGAATTCACGTGACCCTACACAAAGCAGGACTGTTGCTCCCATCACCCTACTATTGAGAGCGCCACAGCTGTGTAAGGTCTTAGAGGATCACCCTGACCAAAGATGCTTGCCTTTAAATGGGAGGGGGGGGAAGCAAAGGAAACAGAAGAATGAGATTCTAATGGCCAACTTGTCAGTTGCCTAAAATAAGGAAAGGAAGGTACTTCTAGACAGCTTCATCTGAAGACCCAAAGGAGGAGGGATGAGATAGCCCAGAATAAGCCATCCCTTGTGAGTGGAGGGGGGCGGGGCTGAAGGCAAGAGAGCAGCAGGAAGCCAGTCCAGAGCTCCAGGCTATGGCAGGAGGAGTTTATCAGTTTGATTTTATACACACACACACACACACACATACATTCTCTCTCCATATATATATATATATATGTATATATATATGTATATATGTATGTATATATACATATATCTTGTATATATCCTACGTATATTATATATGTATTATATATATATATATATCCTGTTTGGAATAATATATTATTATTTTGATGTTACGCTTACCAAACCTCTGAACAGGCAAAATCCAGTTGCCAATAAAAGACACACAACCAATATTAAGTCAAATGGTCTTCTTAGCAGGGCCTTTGCTTGGGCTTCTTGGAGAACCTGAAATAGAATTTGTTGTTAGAGAACAAACTTGTCCCAAAGCCAAGCCAAGTCTGAAACACTAAATGCCATGACATGAATAATGAATACAGACGATGCACAGTTCACAGCACAGGCCATTGGCCACTGAACTTCCAGAGTATCTTTCCCTGCAGTGTGTTTCCTCTTCTGTGAAATGGAGTTACTGAGCCAGGTGATTTGAGGCCCTTCCAGAGCTAGTCCATAATTTTCCTTGGAATTTCATTTTTATGATTATAAAGGTTAGCTACATCCATTTGAAGAATGAGATTTTAGATAGTAAACCGTAAATTGCCACACTGCTGTGAACAGTCGACACAGCGGTTTTGTTCGGTCTTCTGGTTAGTTGACTGGTCAGCTAGTTGGCTGGTGAGCTGACGGGTTGGTTAGTCGGTTGGGGTTTTGAGACAGGGTCTCAGACATGGCTGAGATGCCATGTGTGGCTCAGGTTGGCCTCACATGCATGATCACCCTGCCCCCTCCCCCAAGTGCGAGGATAAGATTTCATGCGCGCCACCATGCCCGACTCATTCGGTTCAATACATTTTTATGTGTATATACATATACTTACATAACCTTTTGCAAAAACAGAATTTAGAATATAAACATTTTTGCTTCTTCACTGAATAGCTGCCTGTGAGCACATCCCCACGTGATTAGAAATTGAAAGTACTATAAGGAGACCATCCTTTTGTCTCACTGCTGGACACTGGGGCATTGTTTCCACTGTAACCCTCACCGTGATGGGGAGCCACTCTGCACAGAGACCTCTTCTGAGTCTCTTTAGTGACTCCATCAGCACAGGCCCCTGATGTAGAACCAGGTTGGAAGCATGGCTGAAGTGCTTTGCAGAGTGATTCTGAGGTACTTAGCTTGGCTCCTTCTGAGATCTGTTTTTACCAGCATCGAGTAAGAAAGTCCATAGCTGTGTTTTAGCTTTGAAGTAAGAACACAAATGGTTCTGTGTCTTGTTAGCAAGCACTGTTCACACACTGACACGGAGGCCTTTCAAAACATGCAGCCAGGGCCAAGGAGGGCTACTGTTTATCTTTTCTTTTTGACGCCCACTCTCTCCTTATAGAGATGTCTGAGTGTAGCTGCTGTTGGCCTGAGTTTACACCGCGGTTTCTAAATATTCACAAATCAACCATACCTAAACGATAATGTTCATGGAGTGAGGAGTATCGCAGTGTGGAGCGCTTCAGCACGTGGATGACTATGAATTTAGCCCCAGGACTCCCCTAAGATCGTATTTTAATGAATTCTATCTGTAAAAAGAATGTTGGCCAGACATGGTGGTGAATGCTTTTAATTCAAGCACTCAAGAGACAGAGACAGGTGGATCCCTGTGATTTTGAGGCTAGCTACATCGTAAGACCCTGCCTCAAAAGTAAGTAAATTAAATAAATAATAAATTTTAAAATAAAAATAGCTTTGTAAGGTGAGTAATTATATTCCAACTAGTAGTTTGCTTCCACATATCAGATAAATTTAAAGGACCTTACCCAAGGATCTCATACACAAACTGAAGAGGACGATAGAAAGATCTCACTAGTTTAGAAATGGAGACATAAGCAGCCCTACAGAGCCAGCTAGCCTTGCTTCCCCCTGACCACCTCAGCAATGAATAGAAGGGGAGGCTCCTGCAACCAGTGTCCAGGGGCCTGCATCCCCGGAGATCAGATCCTGTGTCTGTGTGGATTACTTGGAACACCTCAGTAAATGATACCGTGAAGGAAGTGCCATGTGCTCACACACAGACCATTAAAGACCCAGGAAAACTACCTACTCTGAACGTCACTTGTCATGCTAACACACCAGGGTGACAAGGGCCAAGGCGATCCTTGGAAAGGAAGTCCCCTGAAGTGTGGCCTGTCTGGGTTTAGGCAGAAGCAGACCATCTACCACATTAAGGAAGTTGCTAGCAGCCGGGTGTGGTGGCGCATGCCTTTAATCCCAGCACTCAAGGAGGCAAAGGCAGGTGAACTCTGTGAGTTCGAGACCAGGCTGGTCTACACAGAGAAACCATGTCTCGAAAAACAAAGAAACAAAAGGAGGAGGAGGTAGAGGAGGAGGAAGTTGTTGCCAGCAAAGGCCAAGCTGTGGAGACAGTCCCACAAATTGAATGCCCCAATTTTTCTCTCCTCACAGGAGATAAAAGCAAACCCTGTGGGTCTAAGAACATGTAAGAGTTAGCAGCTGCCGGAGTGCTAGCCGGGGTTTACACCCCAGCACCTAAATATTCACATTGGTTGCATCTTAAATGTAGTAAAATCACCTTTGAGGGATAATTATAGTTTTCTGATGGCTGATTATAGATTCTGAAGCCAGCCCAGACTGGAAGACATGTATATGGTATGCTTAAGAAAAATGCAGGGCAAATTCGTGTTCCATATTTTCCTATTTAAAAGAGAGAAGAAAAGGATAGTCAAAAGATTTATTCATGCATATGTAAATACAGTAATACTTAAGCTACCTCCCACCCCAAATCAGAAAATTTCCTATGAATCAGGAAATATTTGTATTATATAAGACAAAAAAAAAGTCAATAACCATTAGCTGTAGCTGGGCATGGTGGTGCACACCTGTAATCCCAGCACTCAGGAGGTGGAGAGGCAGGCAGATCTCTGTGAGTTCAAGGCCATCCTACTCTACAAAGCAAGTCCTGGACAGCCACGGCTACACAGAGGAACCCTGTCTCAAGAAATCAAAAAGCAAAAAGGCATTAAATGTTTGTTAACAGTGATGTCCTAGCTGCAATATTAAAAAAAAAAAAACACAATTAACACATCTATCCTAATTTTCTGCATGACTAAATGACTTCTTTGACTTCAGACTGGGAAAAAAAAATCTTGATTTCCCAGTGCATTTAGCATAAGCGTGAGGAGTGGCATTCAACAGGAAGAGCTGTAAGTGGTATCTGAACTCTAAATGTCAGTTGCTTAACTAACTGGTCAGTACACACATCTGAAATCTTAAAAGATGAGCACACAGAGGGGAATAGGAATAACTTCGCAAATAGTTTTGTGAGCTTGGGGTCTACTCTATCATAAAGCTTTAGAACAACTTCTCTTAAAAAAAAAAAACCCTGTTATTGCAAAACAAACGATGCCAACAGAGTGACTGTTGAAATAGGGTGTCTTACCTACAATGTTTCCAGGCACAAAAACCACAATGCTCATTATAATGGATCCGACCCAGTATAGGCCAATGGTTCTATAGCTTTCCCTGCAACAAAACATTTTGATTCAGTGTACTTGTGGGATACAAAAGGAAGTCCTCAGAATTATCCTGAATCAATTGATAAGCATGAGAAGCCAGTCAGGCTTTCATGTCACACAGTACAGAACCTTGCTGTGTCCTTCACCCCATGGGTTTGCACACTCAGGCACACGAACTTGTGGCAAATGTGTGTGGAGGCCTATCCATGTGCATGCTTGCAGAGCCAGAAGGCTATGTCAGGTTTCGTTCTCAGCCATCCTCCACCTTATTTTTGAGACAGGGTTTCTCACCGAGTCCAAAGCTCTAGACAGTTCAGCTGTACCGGCTGGACAGCAAGTCCCCAGGATTGTCTTTTCTTGTCAGTGCACCCGCAGAACTGGGGTTCCAGGTGCAGGCCCTCACAACCCAGATCTTTATATGAGTGCTGGGGATTGAACTCAGGTCCTCGTGCTTGCACAGCGAGCACCTTACCGATTGAGCTATCTATCGCCCCTGCCCCTTGGTGGCCTTTTAAGTAGGAAATTAAACTTTCCAATAACACGTGTTGACCTATGACATAGCCGTTACTGATTAGGACAGTATTACCATGGTATGTATGAAAATCACAGCATAGAAGAAAAGAAAAAGATGGAAGGAAGCAGGACCCTGTGAGTTTAGAATCTAAAGTGGACTTTGAGTGGCAACACAGAATCTGGGCTGAAGCCTCAGAGGTGAGGATAAATTACACGCCCCTGTATTCTAACAGGGCTGCTCCAATCTCAGTGGTGGCCACATGGCCCTTCAACTGATAACCCAGAAACGACTCCACACAGTGGCTGGCACTGTGTTGTCTGCTCTGGAGCCAGCCCCACCAGGGCCATGGCTAGTCTTGGATGCCACAGGAGGATAGACTAGAATAAGCCAGACTGTCCTGGAGAGCATGATGAGGGAAAGGGGGGACAGCTCAGGGGCCCTTTGCAGCTTTCCCGATGGCAGAACAGAAAGACCTTCTCCAACAGAGCCTAGGAAAGCTCAAGCTGTCTGGAAAATAGTCTGTAGTCCAAGACTGCCTTCTAGGCCCAGAAGAAGCCACGGCAAGCCACAGTGGACAAGGAGTGAGAACTGAGCCTAAGTCACTAGTCACTTCTGTCACAGGAAGTTTTCTGTCACAGGAGTCCCCAAAGAGTCCATATGCTGTGAGATACAGCTAGCTTGTCACAGCAGAGGGTACTGGTTACCCCCAAATCAGCAACTGTCACAAAACCTCCCCTCATTTTTCAAATAACATAGACACGCGCCCAGAGGGCCACAAAGAACTGAAGGACACCCAAGGCTGTGTGAAATTTCCAGCCTCCAGCCTCCAGCCACACCTGAACTTGAGGTGAACCGAACTGAGATGGAAGCTTTGAATTATAATGTGCTGGATGTTGATTCCTAAAATTGAGGAGATGAAGAGGTGGCTCAGTGGGAAAAATGCTTCCTGCACACGAGGACCCAAGTTCAGATCTCCAGCACCCACATGAAAAGCTGAGCGTGGTGATGTGTTCCAGGGTGAGGGCAGAGACAAAGGCCCCAGGTTCTTGCTAGGCAGAACAGTGAGCTCTGGGTTCAGTGAGAGACCCTACCAGGTTGGCCTGGCGGGGGGTGGTGGTGGTACACACCTTTAATCCCAGCAGTCAGATCTCTGTAAATTCAAGGACAGGTTGGTCTACATAGTTCGAGGACAGCCTAGGCTATACAAAGAAATCCTGTCTCAATAAAAAGATAAAAAGTACAGTAATAATAACACTAACAGTAGTAAGGTGGTGCCCCCGGGAGATGCCTCATTGGAAAGGCACCAGCTGCCAAGCTTGTCAACCTATGTGAGGTCCCCAGGTCTCACGTGGTAAAAGGAGAGCCCCCCCCCATAAATTACCTTTGACCTCCATACATAACTTGAAAAACTAAGGTAGAGGAAAATTGAGGACTACATCAACCCCTGACCTCCATACAAGCCTAAGTGAATGAGCACACACACACACACACACACAGGTGCACATGCCACACACACACACACAAGAGTCTTATTGTCACATGTTTATTTTTTTGTTGAGACAGGGTCTCTCTGTGTAGCTGTAGCCTAGAGCTTGCTATGTAGACCAGGCTACATAGAACTCTGAGATCCACCTGCCTCTGCCTCCCGAATGCTGGAATAAAGGCGTGTGCCACCACACCAAGAGAAATTGTTCTTATGAAATATAGGCAGAAACCTAAAGGGTCTCTGCCCGAGCTGCCACCAGATAGAAAGCCAACTCGAAGTGGTTCTTTAAAAAAAAAGACAGATACACAAAGAAAATAAAGCTTTGTCATAGACATTCCTGTCCTGGCATACCTGTGTGTATCCGCCTCTGTACATGCATTCTGCTTACATACCCCTTATCAGTTGCGAAGGTGGCATGCCCACCAGGAGAGCTAACTTACTCCCATGCTATGGCGGCCACCATCACCAGGTACATCAGGTAATGAACAGAGCCATCCCAGTAGCAGATCATGTGCCCATAGGCCGTGTTCAGATACGGTTCGCCCTAAAGAAAGCATTAAAAAGATACCCATTTTAAGGAAGACTCAAATCTTTAAAACGCAAGACACCGTACTTGTGTTGCAAACAAAACAACAGAACTAAATGGTATTCGTTCACTAAGAAACTGCTTCCACACTGTTGGTAGGACTGTGGAAATATGACTTTTCCCTGGGGCTGCCAAAACCAAGGTCTGCCATGGCATCAAACAGAATTCCTGACAGACTGGCATTTGATGACTCAGCAAAGGTTTGTTCAACAACACAAAGGCATCAGGTGGCTGTGTGGGCGATCCTAGCCGTATGGAGCCAGGCTGTTCACTGGTGCCACCTGCTGGCCTTAACCAGTCATGCTGCTCTTGTGGGCCGGCAGAACGTGGGGAGCTAGCTGCCCATGCCCAGTTCCACACACGGGCAGCACTGCGCTCGGTTCCCCTCCCCCCCCCCCAGCCTTTTATTCAACCTCCCCAGCAGGCTTGTGGGCTGTCAGGACTGACTGTCTAGAGGAGAAAACATGTTTCAAGAGAGTCAAGCCTTGCCTGAGATCACGTAGCTAATACGGAGTCACATGTGCTTCGCCAACAAGAACCACACTTCTGAGATATTTTTAGCTTCATGAACACAAGATTGTATGATGAACTATGCATGCTTCCCATCAAACGTGGGTTCTTCGATGGTGTTTTCCTTCTTCCTTCTCCCCAGACAGTGCCCTCCTGAACTCATTTTGTAGAGCAGGCTGGCCTCAGACTCAGAGATCCAGCAGCCTCTGCCTCTGTGAGTGCTGGGATCATAGGCGTGTGCCACCCAGCCCAGCTCCAGATTGCTTCTTATATCTACCAAATATGGCTGCCATCCTGTCTTTAACTGGGAGGGGTCTGAGCAGCCAAACTGTGTTTCACCGCTGAGGAGGCATGAAATTCAGTGGCTCTCTTGGGGCAAGGACAGCAGCTACTTTCCCACAATCAAATCAGATTCAGATCACAGTGGGGGAGGAAGGCACATTTGAACTTCTAGCCCTCTGCCTGGCCACTGCCTTTTTCTCTCACCCATGACACTCTGACTACATAATTCGAACTGATTTCATGGCCCCAGTCATTCCTGCCTACACACTCGGCTCTGAGAGCCAGCGCTGGCCTCCTCAGGGGGTCTGACAGACACCTGAGGGCCCTTCAAACGCACCCGAACTCCTTCAACTCATCTGCTCTTTCCTTCAGCCAAGCCCTTCCTGGCCTCTCCACGCCTGGCTCAGCCAGCTCTGAGCAATCTTTAAACAAATCTCACCAGTGTTTGGTCTATGCTGTCACCGTGGGTGACCTTCCCTGTTCATCACAGCATAGGTCAGGCCTTCAGTCATGCATGAGGCCACTGCTACATTTCCAAATGGGCAATCCCACCTCTCCTCGCTTCCCATCTACCACACTGTAGCTGCAGTGCGAGACGCGTGCGGCCTCCCTCTGCCCGAAAGCCTGTGGCCAAAGCCCCATCGCTTCTACTAGGTCCCCGCTAGGCTCTCACTGTTACATTCCAGCTTCCTTTCTTGTACCTGTCTTCTCCAAGTCTTGCCAACCTTACCAGGTGGATATCTTGGCTCCTGAGTAGCAAGCTCCATCCTGAAGGCCTCTCCTCTGGGCTCACTGGCCCCTCTCCAGGCTTCCCTTCTGCCTCTGTCCACCAACCATGGTCCATTTCCAAAGCTCCTCCCCTTCTGACCAGTCTCCAGAGTTTGAGCAGCTCTCCATCGTGAGCAACTCTCTTCCTGGACTTGGAAGTATCAACTATATTTAGGTGGCTCCTGAATCTCTTTGACAGAACCATTCCTCAAGGTCCAGACCTGCCCAGCCCTGCCAGCTGGGGAGTTATAGCTGTCCCTCAAGCACCCCAAACTCTACATGTCCCCAGATGAACTCAATGTCACCCTGTAAACACTCCTGGGAAAACAGACACTAGGCCTCCTCTCCAGACCTTTGCACAAGCTGCCCCTTCACCCCAGAAGGCTTTCCCTTCCTTGCGCTGTACAGAAGAATGTGTGGTCCTTTCCCATGGCCACTCTGACGTGCTATGGAAACGAGCAACTCGAAGAGGCTTCCCAGCCATTCCCAGAGCCCAGTTAGCTGTGCCAAGGGTGTGCCTCTGTTGTCACACCAGGGTGCTGCCATCTTCCCTTCACAGTGAACTCTTGAAGGCAGGAGATGGTTGGATTCAGTGGCTCTACAGAACTTCACTCCCTAAGCCTCTGACTTGATAACACCAGCATTCTAAAAACCCCGAAATGGGAATCAGGATGTCACCCCAGGCCTTCCTCCCCATCACCCCCAACTCAACCCCAAATCCCACTGAAACTTGACCCTCTCTCTACACTGCGCTGCTTCTGGCCACCCTCATGCCCTTGCTGGCCTTGCAGAAGCCACCGTACAGATGTCCCACAAGCTTTCTGGTTCAAACTCTCCCCTCAAGCACTGATGGGGAGACACACAAAGCTCCCCATTACTTGAAGCACAGAAAGACAATAGACAATACTGTTTCACCTCTGTGTCTTATTGTCTATGTGACCTTGTGTAGGTCCCCTGGCCTCTCTGGGACTGGATTCAGCCCACTCAAAAGCGGAAAATAACTTGGTAGGGACTCAGAAAGCTTAAGTAAGTACCTTGATATTATTATTATTATTATTGTTGTTGATGATGATGATATAGAGTCTCACGCTGTAGTCCATGCTGGCCTGGAACTCACCATGTTGTCAGACTACCCTAAAACTCAAAGCAATCCTCCTGCCTTGGCTTCCCAAAACCTGAGATGTTTAGGACTAATTAGGGACTTCTGAGATTGCAATCCAGTAGCAGAAACCCAAATACTAAATTCACTTAAAGTTCTTCCCTTAAAGGGAAATGCTAGGTCACACGGTAGTTCCTGAGTGAAGGAGGCGAGGTGAAAAAAGAGTGGCCTCCCAGATCTTCTGTTTTCTGTGCCTGGCCTGCCACGTGAGATGATGGGAAATACTCCCACAGCGGCCTGCTTTCAGCCGCACAACAACTCCTGAGCAACCCCGTACCTCTCTCAGGTAGTGGGTCATAAACCCATCGATGATGCCGTCTTGCTCCAGGCCTATGATGAGGTTCACCACGCTGGTAAATCCAAACACCGCATACACTAGAACAAAGGAAGCAGCAGCTGAAAATGCATGCCATGGAGACAACAGGATGGGGGGTCCACCGGTTATTATGGGCTGCTGCTCATGCTTTTCCAGAAGATGCTGTGGGCATTTTCTACACAGACAAGCAGACTGCATCTCCTCATCAGCTAGACATTTACGTGTCTCCATGGACCTCCCCATCTCACTGAGGGAACTCAGGTCAAGAGACAATCACAGTGCCCAGAAGACTCTGCCAGGCTACCCACACCATCCTCACTCCCTTCAAGTGAAACCCACATTCCACTTGGGCAGCAGCAGCTATGCCCGGTAGCCAAGCAGCCAAAGAGGTGTTCAGGTGGTCTAGAAAAGGAAGGTCTTCTCAGTGGAGAATTCAAGGCCAACCAAACCTCATCCTCCATGGAGGTCCTAAAGACAGCTGGCTGATGTGTAAGGGACAGCCAATAGCTTTGAGAAAAAAAGGCAGTGACCTTTAAAAGTGCACATGAGACGGTACAGCTGAGGATGTGGAGAGGAGCTTCTGCATCTCTGGAATCCGGCCCGGTTGTACAAGACCCCTAACTAAGCCTTAAACACTGTGAGCGGCCGACAGCTAAGGACCAGAACCTTTTAAGAGCTGGCTATCCCACTCAGGACATTTGAGTTCATCAAAGAGACTGCATTCCTCAAGCGATAAGAAACTGGGGTCTGAGACTGTGGCCCGGGGAAAGGTCGGTAGAAAACCCAGTTTGTGAATACAAAAGCTGTGAGAAAACAAAAGGAGTGTGGGAAAGCTGCCTCAGTGGGAAGCCGACAGGAGTGAGGTGTTCCTGAGTATGCTTCATCTCTGAGGCCCATGGCTGCCTCCTGAGGTGATGAAGACACAGCCTCTGCCTCCTAGGAGGTGAGGAACCTGGGCCAGGGCTTGACCCCAAGGTTCAAGGGTCCTCAGAGCTCGAACAGAACTGAGGACACAAAAGTTGGCCTGCCTCAAGGAAGGGGGATTGTATCAGTGGGTTATGTGTGGGCTCCCTGGGAGGGGAGCAAGGGGAGGGATAGACAACAGCGGGAGACTGCTCTGGGACCAGATCAAAGCCCACAGAGTGAGACAAGAATAAGGACCCAGCCCTGACGTCAGAGAGGCGCACCCAGACATGAGAGGCACACAGTCAGTTCTCTCTGTGTGCAAACGGAGAAACTAGTCCCAAATAATTCCTTCCCTCTCCATCTTAGCCAAGGGTCACAGTAGGCAGAGAACGCTTCCCATGCCTTTGACGAGGGCACATGGCTTGCTCTAACCTTAGGACGCTGGTGGAAGTGACAGCGGCCAGCTCTAAGAGGGGCATTAAGGACATCCTTTTCCTTCCTTTATCCCTCAGTGTATGCTCTGGGGAACTAGGCGGAGACACAAGTAAAATTTTAAATCTACCCGCAGCCTGAAGCAGGGGGCACAGCCAACCCACCGGGCCAGTAAGCGAGAAAAATACACACCTGTCACTAGAGACACAAAGGTGAGGAGTGTTTGACATCAGGAGAAACTTAATGAATAAAAATGCCCAACAAAATACCTGGCCACAGGAAGTGCTCCACAGCTGGTTACAGTTTTGCCTGGGGCGGCACGTGTGATGAAAGGGGTCAGTGTTGATCTCTGGGACCCTGACCGCATTTCTGGCATCTATCTCTAGCTAGCCAAGTGGATGGGGTATTTGTTTTGTGTATTAAGTAAAATAATACTTCTGAAGGGCTCAGAGCCTTGCTTGGCACATGATATGTTCAAACAATGGTAGTTTTATTTACTTGTTCGTCATACATGTGTATTGGTCGGACGCTGCAAATCCCTAAGAAATACTAACGTTTGACCAGCTCCCATGGTATTATTATTTTCCTCTTTACACAAATGTATAGACCAGTGGTTCCCAACCTGTGGGTTGCAACCCTTCGGGGGTCTCCTGAGACCACTGGAAAACACGGGTATTTACATTGCGTTTCATAACAGTAGCAAAATTACAGTTATTAAGTGGCCACAGATAATTTTATGGTTGGGGGTCACCACAACATGAGAAACTGTATTGGTAGGCTGCAGCATTAGGAAGGCTGAGGACCACTGGGGTACACCAAACGCTGCATGGTAAATTCCAGTCCACGTGCCAGCAGCCAGCTGAGGGCAGAAAGCCCATCCAGGAAGCTGAGGTGAGAGAGCGCTGGAGGTTCAGCAGGGTGCAGGGAGGAGGCCCGCCTGGCCCTGCCAGTCACTCTGTAGCAGGACTTCATTTAGAAAGTGGACACCACTGCCTAGAGGGGAGCTTAGCGGGGAGGACCTTGTCCTGAACAGCCCTACACTTCCAGTTTCTGTCACTGCTGGCCCAGAGCACTCACAGCTCAGAAGGAATGTGTACCCAGCTCCCTGCCAAAGAGTGGACGCAAACCCTTGCCCTCTGAGAAAGCCTGCCTACCGTAGAACAGAGGGTCCCGTGGTGGTTTTCTTTTGACGAGGACCCGAGCCAAAAGGGCCACCAGGAGCAGGATGAGGGCAGCAACCCCAACAATGGTCCAGGAACTGTAAAGACCAAAGCAGGGAGGTGGTCAGAAATCACAAAGAACACAATGGTGCCTGGAATTTCCTGGCTATTTGAAGGCTCTTGCTCCTTGGGCTGCAGAAGGCTCCTGGAATCAGCCTGAGCTGCACTGAAAAGTTGGTGCAGTTTACAACACGTTGATCTCTCTGTGTCACAACCCCATGGCTCTCAGGGACCAGAAACCCAGGCCCCTCATTCTTTTCTCCTTCCCACCTCTCTCCTGTGCACGTTTCTTCCTCATCCCTAAGATGGTGGCAACTGCACTGCCCCCTGTTTCTCTAACCCTTTACCCTGGAAGCTAACAGACTGAGTCTGCCACTTTACCCTGGAAGCTAACCACTGAGTCTGCCACTTCCCTGGCCCTGGGCAAGCCGTGAGCCCTCAGACTGAGCTTCATGATGATTGCACATGCCCTCCCAGGAGAGAGCAGTGTTTCCCTGTGTGGCAGACACTGTTGCTAACCTCCAGAGACTCCAGATGAACAAGAGAGGCCTCTGTCTACAGGCAGAGACTTACCGCGTGGGTCCTGAGCTTTGCCTGCCAGAAGGTCACCCCAGCCCTACAGAGGTGCCCAGATTGCCCGGCACTGGCAGCATTTCCTATTCTGGACAAATACCTACATGGCCCTGTGAGCCTGCTTTATACCATCAGCTGTCAACAGCCTCTCAGGGAGGCTACAAGCACAGATCCTCACCATGGCCTATGCACTGGGATCTCCAGATAACCATCATCACATGCCTCTGGAAAAGAGAAAGACAGTGAAGGATGGAGGGAAGGGAAGATGAATGGAATGGAAGAAGAGATGATGGACCAGTGAATGGGTAAGAGACATGGAAATGGATGGAGGGGTGGTAGATGAAAGACTGGATGATGTATGGATGGATTTTATTATATGATGAAAAAGAGACTGAGTCTATGTGCTAGGAAAAAATGGGAGCTTTTTGATGCCTCAAACCAGAAGCCAGTAGCCTGGCTTCTCCATGCTCCTCACAAAGGCCCAAAGCAGAGGAAGGGGAAGCTGCCGTGAATCACAAGCATGACACCGCTTTAGGATGCCCAGGGACGAGAGGAGCAGTGGGCTGAGCCATCTGACAAGGTGTGACCGATGAGCCTAGAGGCAGGTGCTGGTCAGCAGACAACCCTCTCCCTGGACACCAAGGGCTGAGCTCACAGCCAGCATGCTCGTTCGGCTGGGCTCCGACGGAGAACGACAGGCAGCGTGAATTAGTTCAGGCTGTCCCTCTCAGGCTCTCTGCATCTGAGGGAGGAAGAGAAACTGGGGCAGTAGGTCACTTCTGCTTCCCAGCTCTGTCCTTGGAGACCCTCTGGGGAAAACAACACACGCCCAAGACAGGCAGAAACAGGCCCAAGTGGGACTCCAGGTAATGGGGAAGGGCCGCTTGGGGGAGGGCTGAGTTACTGGTGCTCCTCCCTGAACCCCCTGAGCTGCCATACAGCCCTTCCCAGTCTGCTCTCCCAGCAAACACCAGGCTAGCTGCTCTACCCCCACTCCTGCCCCCCTCCCCTGCTTCCTGACCTAGCTCACACATACCCCAGAACACCTGCAAGGCTCTGTCCCCAGATCTCACCCTAAGTGAACATATGGGTGGTGCATGTGTGAGATCCCCTAACCCCTTCCTAACCCTTCAACCCATCTCATCATCCTGTTTCTCAGAGTTTCATAAAAGGCATGGGGAAACAGAAGCTCAAGTGATGAAAATCAACTGTAACTGAAAGCGTGCTACACACAAGGTGCTAGGCTGGGCAACCCAGTACCTAGAGCAGCTGCAGCCTGGGAAGGTGAGCTCTGGCCACAGGAAGGGACTCTGTGGGGAAAGTGAGTCATGAGGCCGAGGGGGCTCAAAGCAGAAATCCCTGGTTTGGAGGGAGGATCCACAAATGAAGAAGTGGCAGTTTCATTTGCTCAGGGCTGTCAAGTTAAATGTGTCTTCAGCAACCAGCAACGGGAAGAACGAAGGAGAAACAGCCAGGCAAGCAGGTGGACCAGATGTTAAAGATCAAAGGCAGTTGACGCTCTGGGGGATGGGCTGGGGTGGGAGCCAGGGGCTCAGAGATGCCCAGGGAGCCTGGCCAGGAGAGGGGCTGAGCCAGAGGAAGGCAGTGCCAAAGAGAAGTCAGAGGAGGGCACAGACACTAGAGTGGCCCTGAAACTTACCAGGAAGGGGACAATAGAAAGAAGAAAGTAAGAGTCTCCGAGGGAGCTGTTACGGACTGCTGGTATTCTATCCTGCAGGTCCAACAGCGTAGGAGGATGGCTGGACTAATTCACTAGAGGGTTCAGTCCTTTTCAGTAGGACACAGTGACATGTCATCAAATACTCAGCTCTAAACTGCTCTTCCAGCAAATACCTGCCTATCTCACCCACTTCCTTCCCCTACCATGCTCACCCCCTTCCGTATGCTCACAAGGCCCCATCCTTGTGATCTTGCCATAGTTGAAGTGTCCCTGTTTCCAAGAAACCTTCCCTGGCCACTAGCCCCCCCTCCTAGTCACCCCATTTGGTTGTCTTCACAGCATGCTGCTCACTGTTTATATACCTGCTGCTGTCTGTTTTAATGCACAGCCCCTGAGCCATCCATGGCCGGTTAACAGCTAGTCCCCAACTTCAGCAAGGGATCCGAGCACAGAGATGTTCAATGAATGTTCACCAAGCTTCTTGTTCATGGTACCGCTTTTGGGGCCAAGGTCCCTGGGCTCCAATGACATGCACAAAACATCTGACTGCTCAGAGCTGCTGCTTCGGTAGATGGGTGCACCAAAGGTGGGGGTGGTCCAAAGGCAGCTGCAGCGGGTGCCTAAGCGGCTTCTCGGTGCTGGTGCTGCCTGGATGAGGTGACCACAGCAGTGAGAGAGAATCCACTGACTGTGCACACCCTGTTAGCAGTCTGGAGGTCTAGAGGGGGTTGCAGGGAATAGCCTGATGCAATTTCCTTAGCACCAACTGCTGTGGAAAACAGCAGGCTACTTCCTCCTCCGACAGCCACCAATCAACTTCAGCAGGGCCACCGCTAGCGCCCTTCCAGTGACCACCCAGGCCTTCAGCTGCCCATGGGGGCTGGTCAGTCAGGAATCCCCTTTAGGGAAGGGGGAGGCCAAACTGGAACCCTGAGCCCTTACAGACTCCTTCAGCTCCACCCTTTTCCTTTGCTTTGAACCACTGTGCCTTTGCTCCAGGCCAGCATCCAGCCCCACACAAAGCACGCAGGAGATCCTTACGGTGCAAATACTGCCCCTTTGACAGTCCAGGGCACTAAAGCCAGGGCACCCTGTTAGTAGCAAAGCCAGGCCCGGAAAAACCATAATTGTTTCTGCTAGTTGCTCACAACAGTTTCTAATATTAAAAAAATGGTATGTGAAAGTCCATACATGGAAAGCGCTCCTATCAAACAGGGCGGTCTTGTGCTTTCCGTGTTGCTCTGCACTCCTCTGGTGTCTGAAGGTCTCGGAGGCAGGGGCATTTCGGTATTGACCTTAGCAATGCTAGCTGCCCACTCAGTATCATCAAGGAGCTGGCTTCCAGCTCTCAGACCTTGAACTGCCCTAGCCCTGGGGAGGACCCGAGGGCCTCCCTCATGCGGCGGGCGTGGCGTTCCTGGACGCTACCCCGGTCCCCAAGCTGCGGCCCCGCGCCCGTGGAAAAGTTGCGGGCACTCGTCGACCGACCCCGCGCGCTCACTCACTCGTGCTGGGCTGCCAGGTGGTTGAAGATGTAGGTGACCGGGATGGCCGAGAGGGACAGCACGAACACCCCGGTGGCCGCAGAGGCACTCATCGCCACCGCCGCGTCCCTGTCCCCTCACCGCATCGCGCCCGGGCGCCTCTACCCCAGCTTCCGGGGGCGCCGCGCCCCTCGCCGCTGCCCTTCCAAGGCGCCCCCGGCCGGGTCCCCTCCGCGCGTCCCCGTCGCCCGCAGCTGCCCCGCGCGCGCAGTGGCGCCACCCGGGTGCGCTAGGGCCGCGGTGCTATCCTCAGAGGCGTCCCGCCTGGCCCCTGCTAACCGACCCTGGGGCTCAGCGGCCACCGGGACAGAAAGGCGGCGGGGGGGACGCTTGCTTTAGAGGTAGAGGGAGTGGCGGGGCGAAGGACGCGGCCGGGAGCTGGGCATCCTCGAGCTGGACTGGCGCTGGGCTGAGCCAAGGGCCAGCGGAGGGTGGAGCCAGACCCGAGGGTGTCGGAGACCGCAGGCCCGCGAGATCCGGTCTCTCGGAGACCTGCGGGGACAGATGCTCGCCCTCCAGCAGCCATCAATGGCCGCAACCAAGGTGCCAGTGCCAAGGGGAAATATTTGTTTTCCACCCTGGCTGCTCGCTCGCTGGCCCTTGACCTTGATCAAGTTACTGAAGCCTTCTGTGTCTTTACCCTCTGTGAAATGGGGTCAGCCTGCTCCATCGTATGATTGTGGAAATCATCCGAGTCGACGAGTATGAAGTGCCCGCCCCGCACAGCTCAGCGCCCTGGTCTCCCACTCCCTTTCCTTTTTGTAGCAGAACTGATCCTCAGAGGACTGCGCTGATGGAAAACACTGAGACAGCAGTCATTCTTTGCCTGAAAGTGTTCTTACAGACCGGGTTGCTGCTAGCCAGCTGGTCCCAAAGGACTGCAAAGACTGAAAGACTAGGGCTCTCCTTGGAGAATTGCTCGACTTTGGGTGTAGGGCATGATGGTGCCCAGCGTTCTGCTTGTGCTGGCTTTCCGGTGGAAGTGCTCAGGAAGGCCCCTGGAGCTGAGCCTGGCTGGTATGGCCCAGGGGAAGGAAAGAGAAGTGGGCTCCAGAGCAACAGTGGGAGCCCCAGAGTGCTTGCCTTACTGTCCTCACAACAGAGGCATACTGGTCATTTGGTTCATTTTAAATGTGAGGAAAATGAACCGCGGGTCGGCAATAACCTGCGCCAGGCCATTCGGTTGTTCCAAAGCCAGCTCTTCTATTCCCAGCCTCTCCTTTCTTGAAACTCAGCCAACAATGGGCAAATATGGGTAACAGCCTCTGCCCAAATTGCAGCAGCTCCCAAGCTTCTCCCAGAAGTCTCAGCGGGAACCTGGATAGCACCCCCTTCCATGATTGCTTTTTACTTTTACCAGCTCCTATATCCCCCAAAGTGCCTCCTCTCCTTCCGGCGATCCTCTAGGCCAGCCCAGCCTTCCTCCTATACCTCCAATACCTAGCTTCTTTAGTTTTCTCCATGTATCCTGAGCCCCTCCTGCTGCCCTGGATCTTTCCTGTCAGCCGACACTTGCCGGACCTTATTTCTACTTTTCTTTATCATCCATGCTCGATTTGTTCTAAACTCAAAATTATACTAATGAAAATAATTTCACAGAGGCTGAGAATGTAGTTGGTAGAGTGCTTGTCTAGCATGCACAGATCCCAAGGCTCTAACCTCCAGCACTTCATAAACCAGATTTGATGGGGCACAGCCAAAATCCCAGCATTAGGAGAAGGAGGAAGAGGGATTCAGGAGTTCAAGGTCATCCTCAGCCATCCAGCAAGTCCGAGACCAGCCTGGGATATATGCGATTCTGTCTCAACTAACAAAATAATGTACAGGAACATGCCACAAAGTACACCACATCATGAACTGTGCATCACCTGCTCTGGGTGGAAATGCTGAAATGTTGTGGGACAGAGAAGAGGAGAGTGAAGATGGGAGGTGATCAGGCCTCCTCTCAGGGAACCTCAAGTGCAGGAAGACACTCGTAAGGGTGAAGAAGGACTGACCTGATGAGAGGGGTCATCAGCCTGTGGTGTACCTAGCTGCTTCCCAGAAAAAGAGGAGGCAAGAAGACCAATCCAGAAGCCTGTACAATTTATCCTGGCAAGAGATGATAGGATCAGACCAAAACCAATGGCAATGAAAGGGAAGAGGAAACAAATGTGAACGAAGCCAGAAAGAACTAGACAAAGTTAGAGGAGACGATACAAGAGCCTTTTCTGGGTATGTTGGGTTTTCAGTACCACAGTCTTACAAACATCCCAAAGGCCATTGGGAGTCTTAGTCTGCTCCAGCAAAGGAGGCAAAGGCAAAAAAGATACAAATTTGGGTGGCATCTGCCTAGAGGCAGAGCTTAAACATGAGACAATGTATTCACCATAGGGGCAGAGTCGAAGAGAAGGGCAAACAGGAGCTGCCTGAGAGGGGTCCCTGAGCATGCCACCAGCGCTGCCACCTTGATAGCAATCAACACTCACCCCAGGCCTGAGAGCTGACAACACTCTAATGCTTATGACAGGCACATTGGGCTGTGCTTTCAATGCCTTATCTTGAAGCCGAAAACAGAAATGGCAAGTGGTTGGAGGTTTCATGGGGGCTGTCACCCTCTTCTGGACCCCAAAAGTTTTAAAGCATGCAGGCGATAAAGTTTTTTGTTTTTGTCTTATAGGTATTTTTAAATTTGCTTTTTCAAAGAAGTGTCAATCCTGTAAACTGTGAATGCTAAAACTATAGCTATAACTGAGCACCAGATTGATTTCAAGCATCCTTAAGGTAAAACAGAAATAGAAATCTATTGCCATTTCTATAATATCAATTCAACAGCTGGCTAGTGGGGTTCCCTCAGTACACCTGTTTCCATCAGTGAGGAGAAAAGAGAGCAAGACTGAGGAGCTTGATCACATAGGAACAAAGAAAAAGCATTTTTCAGCTAGGGATGAGGTCACACACTTAATAGTCTCCTGGAAACTACATAGCAATCAGCCAAGCACTCGCTTTTTAGCCCCCTAGCTAAAGTCCCCAGGGCCTTCCTTTTCTGTCTCTTGTGTTTTGTTTTTACTTGAGTTTGCACGGCTGGGGATGTCAGTCAGCAACAGCATGTGTGCCTAGCATGTCCAAGGCCCTGGGTTTGAGCTCCAGTATCACAGGGGAAAAAACGCTGAACATGAGTTCTTACAGAAGCTTACATGCTCTACATGAGTGTGCATGAGGCATTTAGAGTGCTCTGTGGGATACACCATGGCAAAACAAATGGCATGAAGGTGATCAAAGCAAGGGCTATGTGACTCACAGGGCAGATAATGAGGATGCTGTCAGATGACAGAGTCAGGAGGAAATAACCCAGCACCTCCGTCCCTAACCCTCACTATTGGAATATTCTCTCAGTGCCTATGACTGCTTAAGTCCATAGTTGCTGAGAGGGCTCAGCTTATTCGTAAGGATCTTAAGGGGGGCGAGGTTGCTGTGAGGCCAGCCCCTAACAGTGCCGAGCATGCTCAGTACTGACTGTAGAGGAGAAAGCACGTGGGGGTGCCAGATAGAGAAGTGATGCAGAAAAGAGCGGCAAGAGGAGGAGATGAAAGGAGAGTGTGCGAAAGGTTTGCAAAGGTCCCGTGCAGTTGCCAGTGGAGGTCTGCAGTTTTGCCCCGGGTTTCCTAGCAACCAGAGCGAAAAAAGAAACACAACCAGTTATAACATTCACGGTGCCCATAAGATCAAGAACAGAGCAGTTGCTCAGAACTCTTCCCTCGGTCTTCTTAAGGGAACATTCCTACAGTAAATATAGACTCATGTTCCAGGCAGCTGGTGTTCAGTACATCCTCATGCAGGTGACTGGCATTTTGCCAAGTGTCACTCAGTCAAAGCAATCTCATGGAGATAAGAACTCCCTAAGCATTCAGCCTTGGTTCAGAGGGAGATTTTGTATTATCCGGGGACAGTGCTGTATGGAAGATGCTTTTCTAGCACCCATACAGTCACTTCTAGGCGCAGGGTAGATGCCACTCCCTGACCACGGCACTCCACTGTTTGAGGTATCACTTTCCCAACAGAGCACACTGGTACGTCTCTCTTTGCGAAGCGTTTGTCACGCAAGCTTGGAGAGGTGAGCTTAATCCCCATACCGGATGGAAGCCTAGCATGGCGGTGTGCTCTTGTAATTCCATTGCAGAAGAACGGCCCCATTGCTGGGGCTCACCACCCAGCCGTCTCAGTCACTGTTCTAGTGCTGTGAGGCGACGCCATGACCACAGCACCTCTTACAAAAGAGAGCATTTAACTGGGGCTTGCTTACAGCTTCAGAGGTTTAGTCCATTGATGTCTGGTGGGAGGCCTGGAGGCACGCAGGCAGACATGGTGCTGGAAGGGTAGCTGAGAGTTCAACATCTTGATCTGTAGGCACCAGGAAGAGAGAGAGACACTGGGCCTAGCTTGGGCTTTTGAAACTTCAAAGCCCACAATAATGACACCCCTCCTCCAACAAGGTTGCACCTCCTCGTCCTTCTCAAGTGGTGCCACTCCCTGATGACCAAGCATTCAAATATATGAGTGTATGGGGCCCTTCTTTTTTTTTTTTTAATTCTTATACTTTTTTAAATTACATTTTATTCACTTTGTATCCCCCCATAAGCCCCTCCCTCATCCCCTCCCAGTCCCACCCTCCCTTTCCCTTCTTCACACATGCCCCTCCCCAAGTCCACTGATAGGGGAGGTCCTCCTCTCCTTCCTTCTGATCCTAGTCTATCAGATCTCATCAGGAGTGGCTGCACTGTCATCTTCTGTGGCCTGGTAAGGCTGCTCCCCCCTCAGGGGAAGGTGATCAAAGAGCAGGCCAATCAGTTCATGTCAGAGGCAGTCCCTCTTCCCATTACTATGGAACCCGCTTGGACACTGAACTGCCATGGGCTACATCTGTGCAGGGGTTCTAGGTTATCTCCATGCCTGGTACTTGGTTGGAGTATGATTCTCTGGGAAGAGCCCTGTGTTCAAATTTTCTGGTTCTGTTGCTCTCCTTGTTGGGTTCCTGTCCTCTCCAGATCTTACTTTTCCCACTTCTTACACAAGATTCCATGCACTCTGCCCAACAGTTGGCCATAAGTCTCAGCATCTGCTTTGATAGTCTGCAGGGCAGAGCCTTTCAGAGGCCCTCTGTGGTAGGTTCCTAGGTTGTTTCCTGTTTTCTTCTTCTTCTGATGTCCATCCTCTTTGCCTTTCGGGATGGGGACATGAGGACCTTCTTATTCAAACCACCACACCAACCAACGTAGCCTAATCCTCAAGGTCCAGGCCAGTAACAGACCCTACCTCCAAATAACGTGATACCCAAGGTGAACACACACACTCCCAAAAAAAAATTTTAAAAGCCAAGTTTTACGACATATTTCTGT